CGTAACTTACCTTGTTAGTCACTGGCATCCCTTGATTAGTTGTTCTCAGTCAGAAACATGCTCGTCACTGGACAGTAATGACAGCCCGTAGTGTTGAAGGAAGTTACCCATAGTCCTCATGCGAAGCGTAGTCAGGTCAGTTACAGATATGATGCGTTGCTGAGGTCGACACTTGAATTGCTTTGCTCAGCAAATGAGCCAGGCAATTTAGTGAGAGGGTGACTGATCTCATAGAATTAGTGCTTGATTTTTTTTTTCACATGATATGGAAGAGATCATGCAAGTTTCCTTTGTAGTTTATCTGCAATAAAATCTGTTGCTAACTTTGATGAGCTCCTCCAGCCTTCCCATGGCCTTTTCGACAACCCCACCAGGTCATACATAAAACATAGCAACACCAGCATTGCATCATTTTTTTCATCACCTCTCTCAGCTGTCGATCTACAATTTCCATTGGGTCTCAGAGGTGTGTTAGGTCAGAGGTCACAACCGCAACAATTTCATTTTACCGACCAAACTAATTATGCTGCTTTAGCAAACACCTTTGGAGCACTGAACCTTTTTTTCGACATTCTTGGCAGCTTAAAATCATTATCTTCACATTTGAGCTCCACATGTTCTGCAATAGAAATGTAAAAAAATCCGACTGAATAGTGTGCAACACGAGGACCTGATAAACTCTTTCCATTAAACAATATACAGTAAGAATGGTAGATGACAGTAACACCAACCGGGGACTTACGATGTTCTGAAACTGAGAAACTCGACTGAGAACGTCAGAAATAAAATACCACAGAAAAAATGATGAAAAGAAACAAAGATGTATTCACTGAAGTGAGGAACAGAGAGTGCTGAAGGACAGCAGCAGAGAGACTGTACGGTCTGAAAGTAGCAGGCGTAAGTTAGCAGACAGAAGTGGGACAGACATCGTCTTGCAGTTAATGGGTCGCTTTGGGATGATGATGTCAATATTCATCAGTTACCACTTCATCTGAAATGGGAACAGAAGAAATCAGATCACCTCATTAAATGCAACATGAATTCTTTTCAGTGTCCTCTGGAAGAAAGTTTGGTCATTTAATAGGAATACTTTTTATTATTTTGGGTTAGATGAGAAGACTCATACCACTTGTATCATGTCTAGCAGCCAGTTTGCTGAGCTTGGCAACAAAGGCTGAAACCAAGGGAAGCAGCTACCCCAGCTCTCCAAAGGCAGCAAAATCCACCGATCACAAACTCTAAATGTCCTTCATCAGTGACATCAATGTATCTAACGTATACAAAAAACAAAACTGTAAGGGTAATGTAGATGTAAGATGAACTCACCCTGAGGCATTAAATCTTTTATAAAGTGTTATGAAGATCTAGAAATAGTGGCTGCGTCAGTCAGTGAGGTACAAGAGTATCTCCACTTGTGATTACTGAGATGAATGCGTGTTATGTTAGATCACAGGCAAAGTGTGATGTACTGTTTATTGTATATATTGTTTATTTCTACTGCTACGAGGGTGGTACAGCTAACCTGCCGAGTTATCTTTAGCGCTGGTTTCAGGAGTGGCTGATGCAGCGGGTTATATCATTTAAGGTTTTCTTTGGCACCTTTGTTAGTTGGGGTGTTTTTCTGTTGGGGAAAATGGGCTTATTTTGTATATAGTTTTGGTTATTCACTGCAAGCACATCCATCCATCCATCCATTCCATCCATCCATCCATGATCCATGATTGATTGCCACGCCCCTGCAGCAAAAAAATATCATTTTTAACCTGTCCTGATTTTATTGAACTGAAATAGGCTGCAAACCAGTGGGTGACACGATGCCTTGCTATCAGTCTGAATGTCTGTGTGTGGTAGATAAAGATAAGCTGCGGTTCCTCTCAGACTGTACGACCCAAAGCAGGAGATACAAACCTAAATGTGAAACCTGACTATAACACAGCTGAGCCTGAAAACATCTCCCACACCTGATCAAACAGGAAGAATCCAAATCAAACCCTGCAAAGAAATTTCATCTTCAGTATTTTCCTCAGCGTGGATATGGAGGTTCGTTTTTTCAGATGGCTGCAAATACAAGAAATGAGAGAGGCGTCCGGGGAAATAAAAGTGGGATGCCCGGAGGCTTGATCACTCAGACTCTACCTGTTCTCTCCCTTTTCTGCCAGGACATGCAGAAATATTCATTACATGCATGAGGAGTTCTCTCTGGCAGCTCGTATTGATCCAACCTCTCCTGTTCCACAGTACATATTGATCTCATTGACTGTCTTTTTTTAAAGGTCTGTAATGAGGCACACAGTGGTGAGCTTCCTGCAAGATTCAGGTTCATACGATGTTAAAGGTCAAAGCCAGCGTAGATGGAGACGCTGCGATTTTTCTGCTCTGCAGCGTTTACAGCGTGTAGACGTACAGTATGTTCTCTTCTACTTTCCCTTCGTCATCTGTTCTTTACATATAAAAGCTATTCTATCTTGTTAAAGCAAAATTCACCTTTAAAACCTTCTGTGTGTGTAAAAACAGGTGATGTCCAGCAGCACAAGTTGGTGGACAGAAAATGTTTTAGTGATCTAGTACCCTGCTTCACAGTGTGTCCAGAATAAATGATATCCCTGTTCAGTCTAAGGTCCAGTAGCTGCTGCAACCACAACAAGACATTTGTAAGAAGCAAGGTACCAGTCAGTAATAACGTCAAAGGCCTGTGGTACACACTGGATCAGTCACATTTTTAAAGTTCAATTAAAATCACTTCATTTCATTGGAATCACCGTGATGAGTGGATTCGCTCATGGGGATGAACAATGACACGTTTTTGTACAGTGTTCAATTTTGGTGAGCTTTGTTGAGCAAACTGGCACCACTGACCGACGGGAAACCTTTTAAGAAGGCTGACCTTTGAAAAAGAGGACGGCCAAGGATGGAAGGAATCATATTAGCAACACAAAAAATCCACTTTACTGTAACCTGCTCTACTGGACTATAAACCACTCCAAAAAGATGTAGCATAGACAGAGTAGATGATTAAACTATATCTCTTTATCTTTACTAACTATTGTAATGATGATGCTGTAATCTGAACTTCCCAAACTGCTTACTGGGAGCAAATCTGCTAACTAATAGTTTGTAAGTCAATTATTGCTGGTGTGATTATGGTATATCAACACTGGCATCTGTGATTTGCTCAGTAATTCAAATAGATCCCCTGCTGTGCTCATAAACAACTGTTGTTGGTTGGAAAAACTGAATTCTGGTGTCAAAATTCAGAAATGGAGCTACAGATTTCATCAGAGCTACGCTTTGATAACAGATTGATGCCAGAATTCTGAAAACATGATAGTACTTGAGTTTACTGAAGTTATGGATGCATCATAGATACTGTATAGATTTGGTTCAGAGAATGATTGTTAACAACTACCAAATTCCTGGTCTTGTGTCATCCCTAATTGAAACACTACACATGTTCCAATACCTGCGCTATCATACATTATACTGTGCCAAAAAAGATTTTGTATGTCCCCATACACCATATGTACATTTTTAAACGCTCAAAAGTCTCTGGCTGTCCTACAACATCTGGTCATACTTTATAGGATGCAAGGCAGCATGTTTTTCTGGCCATTCTGACCCTCAATCCTCTGTGCCGTTATGTCACATGTCTCAGTGCCTCACATGAACACAAACAGATGACAACTAATTTTGCATTACAAACTGCGATGGTCAAAGTTAAAGGTGCATTATTGTTAGGAGTGTGTCCCAGTTGCATACATGTTGCATGAAACGTTCATTGTGAGGGCAGCTAGAGTGTAGTATTTAAAGTGAAATGGGAAAATAAGTATATGATTTAAAGCACAGCCTTTATCTTCTTACATGGCCAGCTGGCTACGTAGCAGACATTTTGGTATTGTTTCAGAATTTTTTATTGTGCATAAGAGAAAAATTATATTTGCAAATCTTCAAGTGCTTTTTCCCAGTTTATAGGTTAGAAATGCAGTTTTTCAAACAATCACAAAGGAAGGGTACATGGCTTGATTTGTTTCTCCATAAATCTGTATAAAATTTTACAATTGCCACAGGGAATGGCATATAAATATATATGGAATATATTTACATCTCTTCCTTAGTATTGACTTTCTCTCTGTCAAGGACATCAAGCAACACACATACCTGGTGTCAAGCAGAGCCTCACACTGAAGAACCAGCAGCTTCAGCCTAGTACCAACACTTTTTTGTTTCATGTTCTAGCTCCACCGAGAGGGCGACTGAATGGAAAATCAAGAAGACGGGAAACCCCGGCACCCATAACAAAACAACACCAATGAACATTTTTTTGCCATTTATTCTTATGTTCTCTTGTCCAAACTTTCCCCCTTTCAAACAGACCCAACCATCGCACAGACTTGTGAAACATTCCTTTATTATAAATAGATCATTTGTATAAAAAGGGCATGCTTCAATTCAACCATGGCATTTAGACATTTCACAACCAAAAGCTACCATTCAGTTAGCCAAAAACAGCGACAGACTCATGTCATAATGCAGGTCGACAGACAGACGACATGAGACAAGAATCAGAAATTTTCACAACCACAACCAAGTTTTTTTGTTTTTTTTAGTTAAACGTACAATTAGAATAACAACAAATATGGTTGGTCCCCACAATTTCTTTTTTGTATTTCTTCTTCTTCTTCTTTTTTTTTTTTTTTAAAGTTTAAATAAATTTTCTTTGTCCCTCAGGTTACCATCCCTTTGCTTCCTTATGGTCTCTTGGATGGTTTATGTTGTGATCATCTCAGGTTTTTTGTGCCATTAAGACCTTTTCCCTGCTGTCTGTAAACAAAAACACCACTCATGTGTTAGTTCACTTTATCAGTAGTTCCGATCCTCTGGTCCTTCATAATCTTCAGAGCACCTCATTTCTGTCTCAACCTGTGGTAATGCCTCCTCAGAGTCTGGCAGAAATTTATGTGGTAAATATCCCAGATGTCCTGATGTCCAGCAGTGTTGTTTCTTCACATGGCGTGGTTGGTGTAGCTGACATAAGTTGTTTTTGTCGGTGGCACTAAAGAGAGCAAAAAAAAAAAAACAGCAGGTTGGTAAAATGACAGATTCATTTGATTGATCTAAACCCCTGGTATGTTATACTGTTGACTCTGATGTTGAATTCGAAACAGTCAAACTTCCATTCGTCTTGTTTTGGTGAACAGTCAGCAGGTTGAGTGGTTCAACAATTTGTTTTTACAGACGGCGACTGTCAAAAGATCTGCACTGAGTTTGTTTCAAATATTTTAACAACATCCATCCATCCATCCATCCATCCATCCATCCATCCATCCAT